CCAAAGCTACACAATCACATTGACCGATAATCGGCTGCCGTGTCGTTGGAGAATCAAACATAATTATTTCTGATTCTCTCTATTTTCAGGACGACTTAATACGTTTTCCTTTCGATATTTCGTCCCTCGAGTCCTTCGGCCGCCTGTCTTCTATGATGGTGTACACCATACTGCCCCTAGGTAATAAAAAAAAAACTCGAGTAGATCATAAAAAAAAAAAAGAAAACAATTATCAGAACGATGATTATAGCTAAAGTCACGCGTGACTAGCAATACCTTCACCGTTACATAGAACGACTGAAACCATATGAGACCACGCTGGTCACGATACTATCTATGAGCTTGATAACATGAAGCTAATCTCGGACGCGTTAAAGTTCAGCCAAAAAACGTTTTCGCGTATATAGTTTAGAAAGATATTCCTATAACTCGAGTTGAACATTGGCTGGTCCTTCTCCCTGAAGCTGAAAGTCTTGCAAAAAACCCGATGAAGCCGACAGCTGATATCACAATAAACTCGCAAAGCAACTTATTGGTGGTCTTGCCGATTTGTGAGTGTTTTAACCATTTTGTTAGGGTGCATTTACCTTAAAACGATATCAGTAAAAGTTCTTACAACTCTCTAACCTATACCATACGTTGACATAAGTTTAGAGGTCTCGTTAGGATATCGTATATCATATAACTTTAACAGAAGTTATAGTAGCTCTTCCTTGTCGTCAGTGACGCAAAAATACAAGAGCAAGTTTTTCTATATGAACATCAAAACGGCCCATTGTTACGCAACGATAATTGCTTAACAATAAACGCTTTGGTAGAGGTAGCTAAGAGTGGGTTGTCTGCAAACAGTAGTGCGCGAGTGAAGCAAATTGATATTGTACTAATAGCCGTAGAGTTCGTATTTAAAGGATAAAGCCAGTAGAATAAAAATAAGAGCTAACGAAGATAGATGCTTCTGCCGTGACTTCGAAAGAGTTATAGAAGGGAGGTAATAATGGACGATCTGACTAGGCCTTTCCAATGGCCTAGGGAAATGTCCGAGATTAGGGAACAGAAGGCTGCTACTTTTAAACCAGGTTACACTAATTATAATCACTGAGACACGATTTACTTAGTTTACGCTTTAATGTTACATAGAGAACAATACAAGCATCTAGCTTCTCTCGCTTAGATGTTTGGCGCAACGATACTGCCATTTACAATTGTCAGAGTAGAGGTCGTGTCAATGTTAAACATAGTGCCAATAGACCAAATCGGTTTCGGGTATGGGTTCGTCTTCAGCAACAATGCTCATAATTTGCGACTAGAAAAGCTGGTCCAAACAATAGTACGGGCTTATGCCAAATCGACATATTTGATTTAGCAACAGAGCCGTTGTCGAGCAGACAAATAGATACAACTAGTAGTCATAAATGTATGTAGAGGTGTCACAAAATGATGAGCACTTATACAGTGAGAGTATCAAATCTGAGAATTTTTTTCACACACGTGTTTACTTTACTTTTTATCTTAATTAATGATTAATTATTCGCCATATAATATCAAGTATATAATTTACTAGAGAATATGGTTAGTATCTTATTTTCAGCAAGATCAGTGTTGCTCGCTGATTTTAGTATAGCTGAAATATGCTCGCAAGTTTTTATTGTGACAAAAATTACTAAAATATAATTTTTATCAAACGATTGCTACGAAATCGAGTTTGGTGACGCTAGTTAATAGTGGCCTTTTCATAACAAAACAGTGATCATAGGTAATAATATTGCGGCAATTCACATAAAATTGTTTGCGTTTAAAAGCCACGGCTCTGACAAAATTTTTTTTGCTAGATAGAGCTAAACATAATAACAAAAAAATCGTATTATTTAAACACTTCTGGAAATGTACAAATAGTCAAAGTTCACCCCCAATTTCAGCCCGTCTTGCAATAGATCTTTCACGATAGAATTAATCATTTACTCGCAAATGTTAGCTTGTACCTTATCTTGTACGATTTGCCTATAGGAGTAGGGTTGTTCGGTATAACCTTCCATATCGGAAAGCCTGATCGAATCTGCATCGATTTCTACCGTTCATCCCGTTGGCACTAATAATAACATCATCACTGCACACGGTACGCCAACTAGATCTTCGATAAACAGATCTATAAGAGACACCGTTCAGGCGATAGCATGAACCTGCCTATAAACCTTATCAAATTCTATGAATCTCACATATGATTGTGTGTTTTTCTTTCTATGAAAATGGAAAATTTTCAGGATTTACGTTATCGCTCTAGGTTTATTTTGTGCGACGCGTATGAAGGTCAAATATACCAGATATATATATATATAGTTGATTGCATTTATATGATGTTTAGATTCATTACGGTACAATCTGACTTTTGGGTACCGGTAGGTTTATTTACGAAGTAAAACAATGCTATTCAAATTATTCACTTCATTGTAAGGGTGAGCTGAATCGAAATGGTCGATCGTAGGCTTAGCTCACTTCAGCGCTTGGCTCCTCGCTTCTCCCAAGCTTTCTCTTTTTTTTACTAAGCTACATTATTGTAATACTCACAAGCTTAAATTACTTCGTCGAAAAGCAACAACCACCGATCCCTTCGTGTGTCGCCGAGGACGAGTCGTTCTGCTCGATCCTCCAATAGGTTAACCCTACTGCCACGATAGGTATATTTTTTGTTTTCTTTTAATAGATACGTCAGTTGTGGCAGAACGTGAAATAAAGGCAAAATAGGTTTTAGTGTATACGTATCCGTAATTACCTAAGTATGACTAGATACGAAACGAAACGAAGGCTTGAGGCTCATTAAGATAGATTGTTCTTATGTGGTCGGTTAAATTGGTTCGCTCAATTTCGTTGATAAAACTGCGATTATGAATTATGAAGCTGTTGTAACGCTTTTGAATTTTGGCCTAATCATGTTTATCGGGTTACGCTATCTCGACCATTATGTAAGTCTGACAATAACGGTATTGGCGACACAACCTAGGAAGTTATTTATTTTGTTATGTCAGTGTGAATATCTTGCATTTCAAGATTGTAGCCCAACTTATAAACGGACCACTCGTTTAGAAACGTACCGAGATATGTGAGATGAAGTAAAGCTCTGATAATCTACATAACGTTTTTTTCGCACTTCTACAAAACTTAGAAGCAGCACTTCGTATGGCGCTGTAACGGGCGCCGAACTTACCGCCTCCACCATACTGACGCACCGTCAATAAAACCCTTTTTGCCCTATAGGCTAGTCCATGTCTGTCATTTCCTACAACTCAATACGCGTCTATAGTTTCACGTTCAAAAATGGACCAGTATTGCATTACACGGCTGACCACCTGCTATGGCGTTTCCTGCCACAACGACCACTACATATATATTAGAGCTACTTTTAGAACTGATGGCGGTCCGGTTGGCAGGTTTCTCAGTTCAGACTTTTAATACTGGGTGTCGACCATGTAGCCAGATAGTGCACGGGGACCAGCCCTTGTCTCTCCCCTGAGCCTACCCTTTTCTGTGAAAAGGGAATCGTGACAAGTTTTTGAGGAAGGCTGAATAAACGAAAACAGAGAAAAGAAGAACAAGGAAAAGTGTTAGAACGAAGTTGAGGCCTGGACATTTATAGTAGAATCATACAAACTCTGTGTGCTACTTTTGCTATTTCCATAGTATAGGTATTGCCACAAATTACAACACCTGCCGGTAAACGATATCTCGGTAGCCTAAATATAAACCTGGCTAGCTTCTGGCACATTTAATGTACCATACTCAAAACGTTTTATATACACGTACAAAATATATTGCACGGAAACAAATTCAAGTGGAACTTTCCTTGGCCGTCTTACAAGTTGTGTATCCGATGTATTTTATAGCGGGACATGAACTACCCGGACAAATTACTATTGATAGTAATAAACACTGCCATTACCGGCGGCCAATTCTTTTGTAAATCCTTGAATAGGTCGGCTGACTGTTTAACATGACCGACGACATATATGGTATGCTCAGCAGGCTAACCACATGAACATGATTCAGTTTGGAAACATGTCTAAGAGACAAAATATAGTAGCATTGTCGAGCATGCAGAACGTAATGTATCAGCATGAAATCGATAGAAACCTGTAGCCCAACTGGGTCATGCGGAATGACAGTAGTATTTCAGTTTTTAGAGAAATGCAGTCTATTGCATGTACCCAATCTGTTCGGGGTGTTTGTGGCGTAGTTTCGAAACTTGAATTTTATTTGGGATAAATATATTCTAGTCTAAGTGGGCTGTCTTCTAATTTTTCGATTGCATCGCTTAAAGTGTCCGTGCGCTGATGAGAAATTCCGAAATTAATAGGGCATAACATAGTGTACCCTGATAACCCGAATAGCAGATCCTGTCGTTGGACATAGTCGTGCATAGGTAGTTAGGTTTGCCCTACCGGAAGCGACCCAAGGAACTTCTAATACTCCTTTCGTGCTCGCTCTGCTTGTCGTGATACAATGCATGATTCATTATGAACGTAATAACGTGCGTCAAAACGACCCAGTTAAGCCTAATGTAAGCAGATACTGCCCAATGGAGAGGTAAATATATAACTTAGCATAGCGTTTGTAACTTGTCACGCATGCGCACATATTAGAACCGCTTCCAATAATATTAGTAATTAGCTAATTAAGCTAACCCAAGAGTAATAAAAACGTAAAAGATCTACCCTCTTGATTGCTTTTGAATTTTCAGAATTGTAAGGCATTTGGAGTATGAGCGCGCGATATTTTCTCCCGTATACCTTATAATGATGATGAACCATTATTGCAACATACACACGCAAACGTATGAAGGCTGTATTGTACTGAAACGCGGTTTTAATCGTCTCGAAAATGATAACAGCATAAACGTAGACAATCTAGAAATCAATTAGCAAGTGTGGTTAAATACAGCTTTTTTCTATGCCACAGTATCAGACGAAATGATTTGCTATTAACTAATCCTATTCATTACCTGGCTTCAGGCTTACAGCAACAGCCGGACGATTTAAGTCGCAGCGCCTCTAGGGAGTGGTCAGATGAGATGCGTGATCTCGGAGGAGATAATCCACAGTCAGAGAGCAAAAGCTCGACGGACCTCGCTGAATCCGAGAATCCTCCGCACGACAACTATCAACAATTTCTCAACAAGATATTACCAACTTTCGACAACTCGACAGCTACAAACATCACCACGACAGCTGGCAAAACGGTATTTTTGCCCTGTAACGTACGGCATCTCGCCGATAAAACGGTAAATAGAGGTTTGTTTTAACACACAAACAATTTTTAGGTTGCATTTTTCGTACAATTTAAATCGAAAGAAGAAAATATTTATCCTGTAGAAAACGCACTACGGTATATGGGTGGCGAGAAGTGGTCGTCTATATATATATATATAAGCGAAAGTCTCGTTTAAGAAATAGGTCAAATCTGACTGAGTCAAATCGTTGGTACACTTTTGCGTAAGATCTCTCGCAGTGTTTTAATGGGATATAGGCTAAACCAGCGGAAGGTTGCGCGTGAACAAACAGGAAAGCTTGCTTTTTCGATTAACATAAAGTGTTGGATGCTATTCAAAGGTCTCGTGGATCCGTCGACCAGCGGACGCGCCAGAGGATCTTACGGTTTTAACCGTGGGCCGTTACACGTACACTCACGATCAGCGAATTCGCTCGGTGCATTTAGATAGCTCGGAATCGTGGGTTCTAGAAATCAAATATCCACAACCACGGGACAGTGGCGTGTATGAATGCCAGGTTAGCACCTTGCCGAAGATCAGCCGTTTCATTACACTTAACGTTGTTGGTAAGTTACTACTCCCTCGTGTCAAGCGTCAGGCTGAGATCTCGTAAATTGTGTATATACGTATATAAATAAACAGTACTTCTATTTTTTTATTATAACATTTTACGCTATTAAACTTACTTTTCGATTTTTTTTTCGTATTTTACGTTTGTATATTTTTTCTCTAGGTTTTTTTTTGTTTTTTAGACAACAATTAGTAATAATAGGGCTAATAATAGCAATAATAGAGTTCGTATAATTGTTTCGTGAATCTTCGATTCATCTAGCACAAGCGCAATGCTATATGAGATGACACAGTTTGAGATAAAAGTGAAAATTGCTAAAAATTCTTTGCTTCCAAAGCAGCATTAACAAACGTAACGTTAAAAACAATACTTTGAAATCAGCAACGTTAGCCCTAGCGAATTTAATTAATAATTAACTAAGCGCCAAACGTTTAGCAGTACGAATAAATCACGACCTAATTCATTTTATATATTCCCACATTGCGTATATTGGGTACACAGTGTGCAACGCGTTACCGATTTGTTTTCAATAATTATTGATATTTTGACCGCTTTTATTGGCTGCCAGCAATATATGGTCCTCTCAAATAAAGTTTCCCAACGCAGTTTCTAGATACTTTATACAATGTCCCAACTAATCGTACGCGCACGAGCAACATAGGATGAGGCATGGAGATGTATTTATTTCAGACAGCGCGTTGAATACAGTAAGGGGCTAAAAACAATTTGTTAGATCCTCGGTAAAAAAAAAAGTAGGAGTTTTTATCTATTTTTATGTTAGTTGATATGCTCTGTGGCGTGTTGAGCAGAAGAGGTTCGAAGTGCTACTGCTTGCGGTCTAATTCTTAATATAGCTTTCGTTTTCCTTCTTCCGCACTTTTCGCTATTGCAAGTCGAACGGTCTCAGGCGGCTGCAGTTCTTACGTGCTGGGATTATACGTCGCGAGTGGCAGGAGAAAGACTGGTACAAGCGAGACGCTTCGAGAACGCATTGCACGGCGCAAGCAGTCGAGTATAGTGGAAAAAGGGTGGGCTGGTGAAGACGCCACGAAAGCGACTGCTGCATAAAAATGCAATGTGGTCGCGATAAGGGGCCTACCCATCTGCTTATTGGCTAGGTATGTAGCCTAGACATGAACGGCGCCACCAGATCGGGCCACGCGTTACATTTGAACGGCAAGAAAACTACCGATCGGAATGAGCCCGCACGTTGGAACCGAGATGAACCGTGGGTTGGTTTTGAGCAGTCTCCCTTCAGTAGCTCTAAACGTATCTCGGATCTGCGGCTGGTCTACGATCCGTTCAATACATCTGTATAGAAAAACTGCGGCAGCTGGCAAGCCCATTCGCAACCTCCTACCTATTTTTCACTCTCTCATTGCACTAAGTGCAGTCGCCTTTAGATTTTTTTTTAAGAATTTCTGTGCTTCTACTTCGGCTCTTCCGGTAGAGTACAGCGTCTAGCTTTCTGACTACCTAACAAGTTACCACCTCGAACCTTCTCGTTCTCGTTCCGTGCATCTACTTCAGTGACGGCAGCGGCACCTTTGTACATTGTGTATATAATATGCAGCTATTCTTTGTCGAGGCTCTGGGATGTCTGCATTTCTGTACTAGTCGATGTGCACCCAGTCGCGCATTTCACAGGCGCTTCAAACAGGATTGTAACACAAGTTGTTGTTGATGTGTTTTTGTCTTGTGCTGACGTCAGTAAGTAGAGCGCGCATCATCGGTGGACCACAGCTGTTCGTCAATGCAGGAAGTAGGTTAAATGTCTCCTGTGTAGTGGATGCGCCTGGCGGCGGGACAGATTTCGTCTTCTGGTCCCATAATAATGGGATATTAAGTTTGGACGCACGACGTGACCAGCTAGCCATAATCCTGAATACTGATCCGTTACGACAACAGACGATCAGCAGCCTGGTGATCCGTTCAGTTCAGACGTCAGATTCGGGCAACTATACCTGTACGCCCTCTAATGCGGAGCAGGATTCGATACAATTAGTTGTGCTTAATAGTAAGTGCACTGCAGTAATCCTCTGTGATACCTAATGGCTTCTAATTCGAGAACTTGAAACGTACGTTCAATATCAACTATTTAATTATGGTGATTGATGAAATTATCATGATGACGCTTAAAATAAACGTTTACGGGACAACGTATTGAGCACAGAGTACTTCAATTGCCTTTACTGGACAACTATAGAAAGATGTACATCCTAAACATCAAGAATCTATGACGACAAAATAGGACCAAGCATGTTATCTTAATAGAAAATACTGTGTTTTATTTCGGTATAGCCTCAAGCCCATGTACTTGGTGCACTGTTCAATAACGTTCATTACTGTTGCAGACGACACGCCCGCTGCGATGCAAGACAGTCTGAGTTCGCAGGGAGCGTGCTCTTGGCTAGTTCACCGGGAGCTTTTGCTCTGGATGTTGGCATTGCCTGTATATCTACTACTGTGACTGCGACAGTGCCACGATCCGCTGCGGCGCCATGTCAAGGGAGCCCAACGACGGCATAGAACAACAGCGAGATATTTCGAAACCGACGCGAGAGGGGTCACGTCTCCAGCATGTACTCATGCGACACAGCGCGAGTCAACCCCTGACAAATGGGGTGGTGGCAACAACAAATCGATAAACGCAAGAGTTCCAAAGCCAGGGGATATTATTGGAGGGGATCAGCTTATTGCAGCGACCTCCTTAACAGGCTCCTCGACACCGTGTCAACTATAACCATTGTCTAATGTCCCTATATAACGGGACGCCGCATCAGGCCTCCACCCGGAGGCTCTATCGACATTCAGCGTGTTACCGTATGTTTGGGTTATAGTTGCTATGCAAGTTAAAATACCATTGAAATATGTTGAAGTTAGGTCGGTTTTGAACCTTAAGGAAAGCAGTTCCTTTTTACATTCATTTGGCCACTGTAATAAATTAATTATATATTTTGCCCCAATTTCTTATTTACTGGTGTACGTCTAGCTGTAATCGATCTCAACCTTCTAAACTGGAATTGAATGTGGTAACTTTTCTACACAGATCATTCTACCTAGATCAAGGCCTCTTGCCCTTCATTAACTCATAGCCGTGAAGGCACTTCAGTGGGCTGAAGCAGGACTAGTCTGTCCTACTGGCATTATTTTCTTTTCTTTTACATTTGTTCTACAGGCTTGTAGCTGCTGTCGAAACAACCCAGTTGTGATACATAACTATAGAGACAAAGAACGGGGGATGGAAGGAATCGTTGCTGAAGCCGCTGTCGTAGATAAAGAGGCGGAAGGAGATAGCGAAGCATAATGGTGATTCCGATCAGCGCCAAGACGTGTACAGCACATTGAACAAACCAAGACAACAGAGGTGGGCACAAGGCCAATTAGTAGGATAATAAAAGACGACGAAAAACTTCTAATAAGGGCAATATGGCCAGTGAGAAGAGCCTTCGCTTTTCTCTATGGCGAGATGCAGTTGACGGAAGGCCTTAGATGGTCTCTGGAAATACATACTTTTCTACCAAATAATTGTACTTTCTCTGTAAAAATAGGAATATCCGTGAATAATGGTTATCTTTGATAGTAGATACATTTTGATTGCGATCTCGGTCGCTTTTTCAGTAGGCAGTGTACGTTCTCATGGCTCGTCTCGTGGCGTGGCACTCATTCATTCTGCACATTCTGTATATAGTAGCAGGAGTAGTGGACTGTAATGATTAAGATAGTAACAATACAAACAATAATACCAACATAAACAAGTGAAGAAAAACGGAACTAAAGGTAAAGAAGAGACATCGATGGTTATCAGTAAAGCAAGTAGCTTGGTCTGCCAACCAGTATACTAAATCCATGTAAATAGTTTGCTGGTTTGTTCAGCAAAGATTTTCAGAACGCATGCCGATGCCCACCCTATTAGCTATGTACCGTGAGTATCGCGGATTAACCTGCCGGAAAGCGAAACTTTGTTTTCCGGAACAAGATGGTTTCGCGGTAAATTGCAAAAAAAAAAAAATATAAAATGAACATCTGTATCGTGAATAGTATGCCATCAGATCCGTAGAATGTAGGTGATCTCTGCTCAGCAGCGTGGACGTCGATTATATGAATTCCGGGCGAACGTCGTGGGTCCTAAACAACGCTTTTCATGTACTATAAAAAAACTACAGAATTACTTTTTGTTTGTTTGTTTGTTTGTTTTTATAATGTACAAACATTTAATGACTGAATAGTGATTCAGAACAAATTGCTTAGAGATGCGCTTTTCGCATGAAAATTTATCTAGCTTTTTCTACGAAAAAACACATTATCAGCTATTCGTCATCGATTGTAATTATTTTAATCGTGTTTTCAGTTTCACAGGGAAAAGCAGAGGGCGTTAGGGACAACACATATCGAACAGCATCAATTATAGGGAAAATTTCAAAATATTTAGTAACGATTGTGAGGTGTTCATGCAGTGCTGTCTTTACGCGTCTGACTTATTAGATGAAACGAAAAACTCTACTCAACCTCTTGTTACAAAGAAGTAAAAATCAAGACGTGAAGATTTATTCATTGACAAGATATGGAGATTCAAGAGCCGGTCGTCTGAGTTGACTCTTTGGGATCGCAAGGGAATTTCAGATAAAAGGAATGGTAATGCGGGTAAAAAGGATCCAAAAACGCAGAATTATTTATCAGCATGTCTCTGCCGCATTCAGTGCGCACCGAAACCGTATAGAAAATGTAGGCTTAGCAAAATGTTCTAAAATCTATCGGCTAGACCCTTTACTCTCGGACGCTAGAGTTTTTCATTTGAGTGTGGACCATGCCATCGACTAAAGCCATGGATAACAAGCACATATTTTGGAAGCAAAGAGAAATCTGTCCTATTGGATTTCAGGACAACAAAGGAAGAGTAAGCATGTCTTGTTTGCTCCTCTACTTGCATGCATCATCATTGAACACCTATAGATAATAACCATAATAAATCGATAGTGAAAGGAGGGCGTCGGCTGCGAATCAGCATGGACACTTCGCAGTATCAACACTATCAGAAATAACCTTTGTTGCTCAACCGCGTCAGGGCCGATCTCGTACAAAACCACTCCAGATTCCGCAAATTAAAGTGAATTCGAGCATTAGAGTGTTGGAAAATCTGCTCTGGCAATGACCACCCATTTGCTCGTGAGTCAAAACAAATGAATGATAAATAATCTGAAGGTAAAAATTAAACAATAAAGTACGTAATAAAAGAGCTAATTTTTGTGAAAATCATGAAGAGCGGAAATTTTCTGGTGGTTTCTTACGCAATTGGCGACTTAGGTCATGTTTGTAAATCTTAGCGATTTCTCCACATAACGAACTGTGTATATAAGAAACTTAAAGCAAATGGATAAAAAGAAGTTAACAGTAAAGGTTACTAGAACTGCGATTCATCATGCCGGAGGGATCCGGGTTTCTGTCGCTTAGTAATTGATCAGTATAAACCAGAAATTGAGCAATGACGACGATAATGGCAATAAAACATAAATAATTAGTTTGAATGAAATAATAAAACTAATTAATCTGTGCTTTTTTCTATTCTGGAAAGCTTTTTTAATTAATTTCATCGCATCGTGCTGTAGAAATACGTGCGTGCATAGTAAAATTATTTATTAACCTTCAAAGTTCACAACTGCGTAACATGGACCGACATACCAAAGGGTCTCAGTTCTTACCAATGTATGTTAATCATGATTATATATAATCGCGTGTGGCCTTTAAGAAATCGGGTAGCACTTCAAGACAAAAAATAAGATGAAAGCAACCATGAGAAATTGTATACGAGTTCTGTACACTTCACCTGACTTTCTTTTTTAATTAGTAGGGCAAATACAATAAAGCTATTAAAGAAAGGCATAAAAATTATGTCGATTCCACTCACGTAACTATGTTAGATAAACAAGTACTGCTATCTCTGTGCCGTATACGTATTGTATTCGTTGCATTGCGGTTTTGGGTTGGGTTGGGTATTTTTCAATTGAAGTAAAATAAAAAGGTTCAGATTCGTACGGTAAGTATCACAGATGAACCTGCATTGATTAATACGATGTTCCGAAGAAAATAGACAAAAAACCAATAAGAATAATTGAGCGGACGACAAATTGTTCTTCCTTATATTTGTATTAATTTTATTATGCTAACTAACACAGTATATATCAAGCAACTGTTGCAAAACGTTTCAAACTGAAGCTTATTTTGAAAAAGCCTCAACTGTCGAAATTGAGTCTAATAAATAGCTAATCCCAAAACCTCGGAGCCTGACGACAGCCGACCTGAAGAGGTTCGAGGTATATTGTGTCGCACGATAGTCGCGTGGTAAAGCGTGAAAGGGATTTAGATCACTCCAGGCTATGCTTGTAAGTTTTTTTTTCTATGTAAATATTTTTTAAATCATTTTCGGTAATTATGAGTAACTGTAATACAAATATATTATGAAAGACCTAAACGATGAAAACTACCTCTTGGCCAGCAGCGTTAAGATCAAATTTAGTTTAGTGTATATCAATTATTTTCTATTCTATCGTAGCTTGATAATGCAGCCGCTTTTTGCAGTTGGTAATTGGCAGCTACTCGTATAGCGCAATGGTGACGTATTGGTAAACTGGGGACGCGTGAGAAATTCTAGGTTTAAGACACGGTATAGATATGATTTGCTTCATACTGGCGAGCCATCTCAAACCGCATCGGGCCGCCATTTTGTAGGTTGGCTCGATAGGTTAGTGAATATTAAGTGTTGGGAACTATATGAGCTTTTCTCGACGGCTCAGGTATAAACAGGTAGAAGCAACGAAAAACTAGTTGTACATGTAGCTAAAACGTCTGCTATAATCAACAACACCAACGTAGTCAGATCCGAGCAATAAAAGTAGTAACACTCATAAGCATGGATTGTGAAATTAAAACGTCACTTAGAACAATCTATTGTTGAAAATTTGCCGAAATAGGATCTTAACAAATTCGTATTAGAACGTTTTCTGGGGCCGTCACCTGCAAAAGCCAGCTTTTCTTCGCGCACAGGCATGCGTAGTAATCCGCCGCTAACAGAGCCGGCGACCTAAACAGGCCGAATAGTCAGGCGGTTGAATTTAATAAGCAAACTGTTATGACACCTCAAATGCCTGATCGGAAATGAAGTTATTTTGTTGATCTTTGGAATGCTTCTTGTAGGCCATGCGAGCGGACATTGACCGGTCGCTTTGCTGACGACCCTTAGTAACAATGTAATGGGGAGGGCAAAATGCTTCTACTTTTCCCTCTGTCGGAATAAACGAGTGCATGACTCCCACAGCTCTTAGTGCGGGAGCGGGAGCAGCTACTGGTCACTCGTCCGGGTCTATGATATAGTGAAGGATCAGAAGGCATTTGGGTTACACGGCCGATCCGCAAAAATATAAAATTGGTTTCCTAGAGGGAAGCTCAGAGTCGTGCTTGAGATAGATAAATTTTTGCCTACGTTCCAACATGCACGACTACGATACATGCAAGCGTACTTCACTATATTAATGGTTGTATGGAGGGGTCGTAGTATACAAAGCTACCACTGTTTAGCTCAATTGCTCAATTACGCAAACTTTCGTCCGGAGTCAACAGCGAAGTGTGCATGTAAAACTTCGCGCAAAAACTACTTACAAGGTCACCCGTTATTTTTATATACATGTGAGTAACCTAACGTAAATTATTATTCGCGTTTAACAATTTATGTACTAACGTCATGTCTAACTTACTGTAGATAATATAAGTTGAGGATTAGGCAGATTTTTCTTTCACTATAGCCAACTGCAACGTTTGATTGGCATAAGTTTGATATGGGCAGGGTACGTGATTACTTCTAAACATCTAATCCCTAATCGTCAAGTAACGTTCTGCTGTATGTCCATAAGTATACTTAAGGACAATTTGACAATTGATGTCAAGGAATTCAGTTTTTTTTTTTGTCAATTCTAATGGCGGATCTGTTGTCAGGTCCTGACTAAGTGTGAGGCTCGTCCACATATTGTCATCATTACACTAGTAAACTAAACGAATCGAGGTGATTGTAAATGGAAACTGTGTCGTATCTAATGTTGATGCCCAGTGGGTCGGAGCGGTCTATGGAACTGCACAGGAACCATGGGAACCCTGTAGGCGTTATAAATCGAATAGGGTCCAAGGTTTGCTTGCTTTTAATTTGCTCATTTTATAGTTTAATTTTATACGATACGTCTCGTGGCCATCTCTGTGATCTAGTATACACCATTTTCTACCTAGTGTTGAACATGATTATATGCAATCAAGCCCAGGAAGTGTGGCAACGTGAACTATAATTTTTTAAATACGTAGTAAATAATCGAGACACAGCAAGAAAAACCTAGTCATTATTTATTTTGTCATATAGCTTGTATATAAGCGACATGGGCATTATGAGACCTTATAAAAAAATATGTTACGATATTTTTAAATATAAAATAGTTTTTTGCATAATGCCTATCATAGACAGCTATCACTGCACCGTTTCCCTTTGCGCCACGCTATAAACGAGGGCCTTCTTGAAAAGAACTTTACATGATATGTTGCTAACGAAGATTCATGCAGCGGACAAAGCGCAGCTTTCATTTAGTCAGTCGTACAATCCACTGGCATGTTCAGCATGGCTAAGGCCACTATTGTATAGTGAACTACTTTTCTGGGCGGCTTTCCCTACGTTTTGCGGTGGTAAAGAACTTTGGGTCGGTCTCGGCTATTGGGTCCTCCTGTCGTCGAATCAACTAAAGGTTGGGGGGCGTTTTTCGGTAGGCCAAACTGGCGACTGAAGATATTTAACAAATAGCGACATATCCTCTAGTGAGTACATGGAGCGATTATGGCAGGACGTACGCAGGTTCAGGTTCTTTTTAAAAATGCAGGCTTCGCTCGCTCTAACTTACACATTTTAGCTGCGCTAAGATCTTCTCAGATGATTTGGGAATAGAAGACGTTTGGACTTGGTACACAGAAAGCGTGTCCTTATACTTAGGGAGAAAATACGACAGCTACCAGAGCCCTTCCAACCAAGTCCTTGACAGAGCAACAAAGAATGAGCTCAGTGCAATATGCTTGTGTATCTAATAGCATTTCGACTTAGTTGTTAACATACGCTTTCTATGCTAAGTAACTGCATTTAAAGTATTGGCCAGCTTAAGAGCTGCATCTGGAAAAATGCAAATGGGCTCGTCTCTTGTTTATCGAGTCCAAACCAAGAAGAGTACGATATTTGCGCTGCTGTTCGCGCGCCGTTATTTTGTCTTTATATTTTACTGAAGGGGGTTTTATTTAACTGACGGTTTGCCTCAACTGTCGGGCTGATTTAGATGAAAATGGATTAACGTAATTGGAAAAGGGCCAAGGTTTCCGCAAATTGTTGTAAAGATGAACCAGCCAAGAGTGCCTTAAGAATATGAGACTTTCCGCGCATCCTCACAATTTGTTTCCTATGCCTATATTATTTTATAAACTTGTAGGGACAAAATAGTTCTGCCTGCAGGTTGCTACTTGTTGCTGACCTCCAACGAGCATCCGAAAAGCTTGAAAGATCTGTAATTGTTATGTTCTGCACAGCTTAAACGATATATCTGTAATAGTTCCCATAGCTATAGGACCACTTTAGGAATCTATACAACAAAATGGCCTAGTAGCATGTTTGTGCCTTTAATATACCATTGTTGTCGTTTTACTACAACCAGTAACTACGTGTATCATACACATATCACACAATGTTTTTTGCTTCTTATCTGATTGATGATCCTCTTAGGCGGATCAGAAGGAAATGGTAAACTACATATAATACGGCGCTGTTATGCTGGACGCTCGTATATTGCTTGCTTTGCTCTCTTTTTTTGCGGTTTTTTATAAGCTTTCGGTCAATGCTAGTTGCTTCTTCTTAATTTACTTAAGACATCATTTTCCCTTTTGTCACTCTGTGCGTCAGTTACGCATCATTAACATTACCGGCTTAAGGAAACAGAAAGTCAGATGAGCAAACAAAAACGCTAGGGCAGCATCGACGAAAGCAAGAAGGAGGGAATGTCTTCGAAACACAGAAGGATTTCTATCTATCTGTCGCCTTTACCTTTTTACTTTCCCATGCCAGACGGCGAGGTCTACGCTCAACCCCTACGAGTGCTTATAACAACAGGCTTATTCTAATGCAAATAACTTCCTCTTAACGGGAACGAATTCTAAATATTTGAGTCAATCAATCAGACGTACAACATAAAGTTGCGACATCTTCTGATGAAAAACTTGACGATTCTAAGATAAAAAGTGTTAGGATTTATATTGTACTTTTATAGCCTTGTTACATGTTAATTGCGCAGCGCGAACTCAATGATTTTGACGCTGGGGCAATTTAGCCTTTTCTTACTCAACCGAAATAGACTTCGCCTTCTGCATGCCAGTGGGTATGACACAATGAATTTTAATTTTTATAATATTCAGTGACTTTCTGTTTAGTGACAATGTGCACCGTCATTATTATTTACGATCTCTTGTCG